AAAAAAATCAAAATAAACACCCTCTAAAGATTAGTAGAGATGGTAATTATTTTAAATTACTCGTATAAATAAATCCAGTAGGTTCCAAGTTGTTTGTTCCATACTCGTGTTCTGAATCATTTGAATTCAGCTTCAATTTGAGTATTTTAATACTATACTTGCGTAAGTTATTGTTTGTAAATTAATGTTGATAACGTGTATCTAGAATAAAATTTTTACTTTAAATATTGGGTTTTTTACACTACAAGAAAACTCAAATTTAGCAACTAAAATATTGGTTATTAAACACTTATTTTTTCGTCACAAATTAAAATTAATGATAAAATTTATACTGTTAGTAAACCATTGTCATTATTACTCTTACTGTCATATTTAACACCTGTCACAAAAAAAAAAATTAAAAGGAAGAAAAAAAATTGATATTACTAACAAGTTATTTATAACAATTTTATTCATCACAAAAAATACTTTTAGTCACAACAATTTTCATCACAAAGTTTATAACTAAGTGACAAAAATAATAGTTATAAATACTCAGAAGTATTTGTGATGAAATATTTAGTCATTACTTATTTAAATTGATATTAAAGTAAAAAGGATATTTTTGAAATTATGACACACATCTATTACAAAAATTCTCGTCACTGTAGAATTATTTATAATTTTACAAAAGTTTTATGATTTGATATCTAAAATCTATAAAAAGAAAATAGAATTTTATTAATAAAAATTTTGATAAGTTTTTAATTATTTAAAAATATTGCTAAATAAAAAAAAATCTTTAAATATATTATTATATCAATGTGTGGTACAAAATATATATAAAAATAACAAACAAATGAAAATATATATATATATATATATAATACATCAATAAACACTGCCTTCTTCCTTTTGCTATCGTCATCTCTAGCCAGCATCTAATTCCCTTGCTTTTGGTCTTTCAAAACCAAATATAAGGAGGAGGAAAAAAAAAAAAAAAAATCTAAGGCTTGCTTAATCGTCTTTGTCCCTCGAATTTGGCCATCAATACTTACACAATCCTCTTCATCCCATGAATTTCCCTGCAATAAATTTTCTTTTTACTTCTTTCATACTTGGACTTGAAAGAACTTTAGATTGGCCATAAATATGCAAAATTCATGATAAATAAGTCACCAACAACTAAGACTTGTGTAGGTTGGTTAAGACATTTAATTTTAAAAAAGAGAATTTCAAACATGTATAAAAAAGATTAAAAAAAAAACCCCACCTTTACAATGAAAAACATATTACCTATTATCAAACAGAAAAACGAAAAAAACATATTAATATTTATCATAATAATACAAATTGAATTCTTATTTAAATTATAAGGAGTTATTAATTCGAAAACAAACAATAGAAGAATACTTTAATTAATCAATGTCTACACAGCTTTAAAAATAAACAAATAATAATCTTTAAATATATGATTATATCAGTATATAGTACAAAATAAACATAAAAGTAACAAACAAATAAAAACAAAAACAAAGGCAATCACTAGCTGTAGAGATATTTGAAATTATGCACCTTAGCGAAGGTTGCTTGAGAACTTTGCTCGTTCCAACTTGCATTACATTGATTCTCACTGTTGTACTCTCTTTCAAATGACATCTCAATATGGATAAAATTAAATAATTATACTATTTAGTAACAAATAAAATAAGCACAAAAAAATAAATTAAATTCCAATAGTTCTGATTTTCAAGGAATGATCTTTCAACTTACAATGGGGAGATTTGAAATTTTTAAAAGCGATTTTTTTTCCTCATTTGCTCCCTTCTTGCAATTCTAGAAATTTTTTTTTTTAAAAAAAAAAAGAAAAGCAAAGAATGCACAGAAATTCGAAATAGCATATATACCAAGAATAGATATCAGATGTTTTAGTAAAAATCTAAAGTAATTAAACTTTGGAGTAAAATAAAGGGTGAAAGAGCAATGGATACCTTTGGGAATAGTGGAGTATAGAAAATTAGTCTAGGGTTAAGATGTTTAATACATATATTTAAATGTTTAAAACTCAAATGAAAAATAATAAGTATGAAAAAAGTGAAAAATGATAGATATAAATAATTACCGGTTCATTTGGATTTTAGAAGGATTGAAAACTAGAAGTTTTGAGTCTTCGAAATCCTTTGAAGTCCGGGTTGTCATCTTATCTCTCAAAGCTGCTACTTTTGTTTTATTTTAAAGACTGCCCCATTTGGTTCAAGACTTAGGAGAAAAGCAAACAACAATTTTTGAATTTCCTTTGTTTGTATGTACACTCCTACTTTTTATCTTAATAATAAAATAAATTATTTATCATTTAATATATATATATTAGGGCTTTTAATTTAGTATTATATATATTTTCTAATTTGAAAAAGTTTAAACATAATAAAAATATTAAACTAAAATAGATATTTCACATTGGTTATTTTTAGAATTTGTTTAAAAATTGTAATTATCTGGTGACAAAATAATAAATTGAATATATAAAAAAAGAGTAAATTGAAATTATAAATATATATTGTATGGATAAATTTTATTAAATTTAATTATTCTAGTATATAAAGTTGACATTACCCTTTTTTTAAGTCAAAATAAATTTAAATTTTAAATATTTTTCTACAGAAAATCCCCACCCTATTAGAAAATGATTTATTTGAATTTAATAATTTTGTAATTGACATTATCAAAACTTTTCACTCCATTTTATTTTGTTAGTAAATTTTGTTAAATTTAATAATTCAAATACAAAAAATTGACATTATCTAGTTATAATCAAATTAGTGTAATATTTAGTTCATAAAAAAAATATTAATATTGACATATAC